GTTTAAACAGTCTCTTTGGATGAGCTAGTCCGTCTAAGTAAATGTTCATTGTTTCAGGTTTTGCCCCCCAAGCCAGCGTCTGGCTGCAGGGAGACATCCTTAGAGCCATGCTTGTTTTGTGCATTTTTGCTGGGGTCTAACTAGGCATGATGGGCACACCTGACCTTATGGACAGTGTGCCAACACAAACTGTGGGAGTCTGGGTTGTCCCCTTTGTCCCTGAGAGAGTGCCTCTTCATACTGGCCAAGACTTTGCTTGAGCTCTCAGCCCCCCTGATCCACTTCCTGGAACACAGGGGAACCTCAGGGTCCCCTGCTTGGCCAGGGAAGCTAAGAGCCCTGCCTTGGTCATGCCACCTCCGCCACAGGGCACCTTTACGCTGCACCATGCTGGAAATAGCCACGAGCATGAGGCAGACTTTTACAGGTGCCCTGACTCTCCCCAACAGTAAGCTTAAGGGAACGTGACTCAGGCATGCTCAGCACCTAGGGATGTTTCTAAGCACCCCTGCACCCTCATCCTTAGGTAGCAAGCCTTCATTATAGTCTGGTGTCTTCGCTGTCTTCTTTATTCCTTGCCCCCAGGACCAGAAGGGCCATCCTTTTATCCTTTTTCTTTCAGTGTGCCAGGATGTTCCTATAGATTCCACGGTCTGCATCCTCAGGCCGGCCCCTTGCCACGCCGAAGGAATTCAGAAAATCCTTTCTCCAGACCAAGCATGGCTTTTCAGGCTGCTCAGTTTCTGGGAACTCAAACAAAAATCTAGTTGATGTTTGAGCTGGGCAGTGACTCGCTCCAGCGGGACGTGCGCTCATCTTTAGCACCGACTAACTACCGTGGGTGGGGCCCCCAACTCTAAGACTTGCAGCCTGAGAAAATCGATCGGAAACTATTTGAAAATATAATCTCATTTATGCATTTTTAAAATAATATTTATGGTGGGCTTACGATGTGCTAGGACATACACAATCCTTGAAATTGTTTATAATAACAGCTTTATTAAGAAATAATTGACTTACCATGTAATTCAGTATTAAAGTGTACAACCATATACCACCATCTAATTTTAGAATATTTTTGGCACCTCAAAAAGAAACTCCATATTCATTAATAGTAACCTCCCAACCTCCCTCCCTCCACCCCCCACCCCTTACCCCCACCCCTGTTCATGGCAACCACAAATATTTTTGTTCCTATAGATTCATCTACTCTGGACGTCGCATATAAATGGAATGACATCATATGTGGCCTTTTGTGACTAGCTTTCTTAATTCTGTGTAATGTTTTCAAGCTTTATTTATATTGTACCATGTATTAATACTTTATTTTTATTGCAGAATAATGCTCTGTGATATTGGATGTGCACATTTTATTTATACATTCATTAGTTGATGATTATTTCGGCTGTCTCTACTTTTTTGGCAATTATGAATAGTCCTGCTATGAACATTCAGGTACAAGGTTTTATGTGGACAAGTGTTTTCATTTCCCTTGGGTATATATATCTCCAGAAGGGGAACTTCAGGGTCATATATGTTAAAAAAAGTTCATCTGAGTAAATGCTAAGGATCTTGACTAACTTTCTTCCACAATTCATAAATCGGGCAGCATCCAATCTAGCAGCTAAAAAGAAGTTCCAAGGAGCTGTACAAAATGAAAGACTTTTATAGGCAGAAGGGAGTGGGAATAAGGAAGTTATATCAGTAAAAACCACATTGGTTGCAGCAAGGCCACCTTCTTTTAGGGGCTGGCAAAGAGCTATCAGGCAGATGACCTCAATGGTGCTAATTAGACAATGAGCACCTTTTCATGGGCTCCTTCGTTGGCCATTTGAATATCTTTGGAGAAACGTCGATTCAAACCCTTTGCCCGTTTTTTAGTGGAACTATTTGTCTTTTTAGTGTTGAATTATAAGAGTTCTTTACATGTTCCTGACACAAAGTTGTTTTTTCTTTTTCCCCAGCCCATCTTGAAGGGTATCGAAATCAAGGTTGGAGTAGGGGCTGCAGTTTGAACAGCGGGGAGAGTTCACTGCAAGGCACCAGGAGCCTTGCAAAGAGCACATTCCATCCCACGCAACAAAGGTCCGGGCAGGGGCAGGCCCTGAGGAGGGAGGGCGAACCGCCCAGGCAGGCCTGGGCCTCTGCAGCTCGGTCACTCCCCTTTCAAAGTCCCTGCTGAAGGGGGATTTGGGTGGAGGCGGGTAGAGGTGTTGGTTGGTTAGCATATTGAAGGAAGTCTTCTTTGTTTCTTTTTTTTTTAAGGGGCATAGGCTTGTATTTCTTGGGTAAATGAGATGATACACAGAAAAGCATTTTGGAATGACAAAGGGATATGCAAATGTAAGGTGATATTCTTATTGCTACTATTGTCATTTGTAAGAACCAATGAAAACCTTCTCTAGGATGAAATCACAGAGCCTCTGTGTGTGGTAGGCGGGGAGGAGTTGGGAAGGATGTGGGGGGATGAAACCGAAGGAGAGAGGAGGGTAGCAGAGTTTGCAAACCTTGGTTACCTGCATGAGGGGGGCGGAGAGAGAGGCCTTGTGTTCCTGGCATATTCCTTCACCACCTGTGCAATTATTTATTTAATATTTTACTTTATAAAGGTTTTCATTTCTTTTCATTAAACAGATATATTTATAGAGGAAACTGTATATCACAGTTATAAATTGCAAGCCGGTAACACTTTCAAAATGGAAGGAAGAATATAAACAGATATAGGGACAACCCAGCTGTGTCATAAATTCTAGCTGGATGCTGTCAGCTTCTGGGCCTGAAAAACTCTCCCAACTTAGCCTGGCTCACCTCTCCTTGTCCCTCAGGTCCCCACTCAAGCGGCCTCTCCTCAAGAAGCTTGTCCAGCCCCGCCCCTCCCCATCTCTGCTTTGTTGCATCCGGCACTTGTCGCTGTCTGAGAGAGGCTGCTTTTCCTGTGTGGCTCTCCTCGGCTCGCTCTCCTCTGTCTACCTCAATAAATAGTTGCTGAACAAATCGCTAAGAGCTCTGGGCTGCAGGGATGTTCCTTAGTTTGTTTCCTTTTAGCAAAGTGTCAACCGGGTGTTAAAGGCCCCTGCCGCCTGCGCGCCAGGCTGCCACTTGTACCTCGAGGTAACAGGAAGACTGAGCGAGACTTGAGAAGGAGGCGGCCTCTGGGGGTGTCATCCGCAGCTCACCTGTCTCCCACCCCACACTGTGGGAGCCCCCAGGCCTGCACCTGCAGCACCGGCTTGGATCCTCCCTCACCCACTTGCCTGAGGGATCCCACAGCATCACTGAATGTCAGCAGCTTCCACCTTCCCCAGAATAAAGGGACAGTACCTCGCTGACCTCACAGGGCTCGCTATTCCGCTGACAAGGACACATCTGCTCAGTAAACGACGGTACAAGCTCAGAAAGGGCTTAGCAGAAGAAGGGATTTAATCACTGACTTTGCCTGCTAAAATCCCACCCTTTCTTCCAGGCCCAACAGTAAAAAGTAACCATATCTCTTACTCTTTATTGAGAACTCATTATGTGGCAGGTACCTCGCTACATATATAAAACATTTTATTTTTATCCTTGTATTAATCTTATAGAGTAGGCATTTACTATCCCATTTTACAGATGAGGGAACCGAGGCTTAAGATGGTTTGACAACGTGCCTGAGGTGTCGTGGCCAGCCCACATTCTTAACCACGCCATTATAGTAACCGCTCAACTGCCGCCCCCTGCATGCACGCTTCCAACCCAGGGGTCTCACCTCTTCTGAGACCCATAACTGTACTGTTATGCTTCACATGATAACAGCTCAATCTCCCTCGGTGCTCGCGCATGTGTTGTGTGGCAAGTATCCGTTCCTTGAGGGCTGAGACCACATTCGCCCCTCTCTCCCCAGGGGCAGGTGGGCTCCGGGCGCACTGTGGGTTCCCCACCTGTGTCTGCCAGGTAAGTGAGGGACTGGGGCCCCTGGGTTTCTTCTGCCAGCCTTCCCTCCGAGAGGACAGATGAAGAAAAATGAGCAGTTGATTTCCAGAGATATAAATGAGCTCGACAGAAAGCCCTCGGGATGCTTATCTAGGAGAGCGAGTGGGAGGGCTGGGGAGAGCGGGGAGACCACAGCGGCACAGCGGGGGTGGGCCTGCTGCCCTCCCCGGCTGGAGGCTCTTCCTCTAATGCTGTTGCGATACCAGTACCGACTTCTCTGTCTTTCCAGATTCGCACCCTGTGGCTCTTTGTCCCCGCGAGAGAGAAGGAGAGAGGGTGATGCCGGGGTATGGATTCCACGTGTGTTGCATATTTGGTAGCGACTCCAAGGTGACTGGCCCCACGATCCTGCGCTATCCTGGGTGGCTTCTCTCCACCCTGACCTTGCCCTTGTGTAGAGGCCCATAAAGTTCCTTTCTTAGACCCTCTTCCAATCATCCTAATTTGAATGGGCCCTCTGCTCCTGCAGGGACCCTCGCAGATGGGCTGGACAGCCCCTTCGGGGGCTCTTTGGGCCCCTTCTTGAGGTCAGGGTCGAGGCGGCCTCATTTTTGTGTCTCCACACCTGGCACGGTGCTTGGGACACGGTTCCAAGAGCTAACGTTGAGTGAGCACCTATTATATGCCAGGCGTTATCACCTGTATTAGCCCAAATAATCCTCACAACAATCCCACGGTTGTCATCCCCATTTTATAACTGAGGCAACTAAGACACAGAGAGGTTGAGTAACCTGCCCGGGGTCACCTGTCAGCATGGGCAGGTCTGGGCTGCGAACCCAGGCGGTGTGACCCCTGAGGCCACAGTCTGGCACTCAGCCCCGCTACGGGCTGCCTTTCTGTTTGCCATTCGAGCGGTGGTGTCTGTTAACCTAGGGAACCAAAAGAAGCCATCTCTTTGAGCACTCAGGGGCTCCGGTAGAATGGGCAGAAGGTGGAATGCAGGTCACCATGGCAACCAGATCACCTGGGCACACAAACTGGTGAGCCCTTGGGCCAACGGTTCTGCTGCCAGCAGAGAGAAGGGCGTGGCTGGCATGGGCCAGTGTTTGAGGTACCAGATACACTGGGAGGACCTGGAAGAATACCAGGTGGGCAGCTCAGGCTGGAGATTCGGGGCGGAGGGGAGAGCTTCTGAAGCAGGTGGGGCGAGTGGGAAAACACTTACCTGAAGCTCTAGAGTGTACCGGCCAGAGCAGTCGCTAAGGAAGGTCCAGCCCGGTCCTCCCCATCTGCCCGGGGCCAGAGCCCAGTTTTTAGTCTTGTCTCTGATCCCCCCTCCAGGCCTGTGCCCACACACCGCTTCCCAAGACCATCAGAGACGGGGAGGGGGGAAGGGCACCGTGTCCTCCTCGGCCACCCCCTCAGGCATCTGATACTGAGGGCTGTGTGCAGAGAGCAGGGGCCTGTCCACCCCGTCCCCGGAGCCCCCTACTCCGCGGGAGGCCAGGGCAGGGCCAGACGGAGTGGGCAGGTCACCTCTCTGTGATTTGTTGTAGGCCCTGACCTTCCTGACCAGAAATGAAATCCTGTGGTGAGTAGCGGGTGCCCCCTTCCCTGCCCCTGAGCTGGGATCTTACCCCAGTCCCTAGCAGGGTCCCTGCTCACAGCCACCGAGCCCTGGCGATGAGGCTGCCCAGGGTGAGTGGAGGTGGACCCCAGCCCCCGGGGTTTGAGGTCAGGAGTCCCAGGCCTGACTGCATTGAGTGACACGTCAGGCTTAAGGCTGCTATGGGATCCAAGGCTGGGTTTCTTTAAGACTCACACAGCTGGATAGGGCCTTCTTGGGATAATGAAGAAAAAAGAGAGGAAGCACTCAGGAGACAAGCCTGCAGCACTTTGGACCATTCACTGGCTGGGTATCCATGATGCGCTAACTGAACCTCTTTTAGCCCCTCCCATCGCCCTCCCTCCCTCCCCAAGTCCATCCTCAGTGCCAGGTGGGTGGCAGGCACTGTGAGGGCACTAGGGGAACAACAGGGAGCAGTGCAGTCCCTGATGTGCAGGTTTCCGTCCAGCGGGGGAGGCTCCAGGCCAAAGGCACCCATCCCAATAACGCGCATGGCGCTGCCGCGGGAGTGGAAGGCAGGAGAGATGGGTGAGCGCTCAGCCAAGACAGGTGCTCAACAAACTCCTGTTAGGTGGATCAATGAGCTCGCTGAGACGTGAGGCGGGGTGAGGCAGGGTGAGGCGGGGTGAGGCGGGGTGAGGCGGGGTGAGGCGGGGTGAGGCGGAGAGAGGAAACCACTTGTAGACCCTCAGGAACAGAACCCTCTCCCCAGCCATGATGTCCAGCCTAAAAGCCACACTTCCCACCCAGAGTCCCAGGTAGGCAGTGACTTTGCCACAAGCATGAGCCCTGCCCCAGGCACCGAGGGGGACTGAGGGATGGCCAGGACCCCAGGAACTCCAGAGACCAGGGGGAGCTGGGGGGCCACATTATTTTCCTCTTAAAATGAAAAATTCACTCATTTTTTTAAATATAGAAAAAAATATGACAAAACTCTAATGACTCATATCCTACTACCCTACTGAGTAACTCTTGAGTAAAAATGAAATAGAATTTTAAAGCATAATATGTGATCATGACTAGAAAATTCAAATAGCATAGAAAGTTCTAAATAAAGAAGTAAATGCTTCCCTCCAATTTTTCCAGACCTTCTCCCCAAAGTAGCCCCTGCTTAGTCAGTTTCTCATTTACCCTTCCAGAAGATCTTTCATAGGCAGACCTGCATGTATAGCCTTCAAAAATTGTATTCCATTCTTACCATAGCATTTATCCATTTATATTGTAGCATTCATACTGTTCTGGACCTTTCTTTCTTTCTTTCTTTCTTTCTTTCTTTCTTTCTTTCTTTCTTTCTTTCTTTTTTAAAGTTTTCATCTTGGCTAGTTTTACTTAAAGCACGTGACATCTGCCTTTTTTTTTTTTTCTTTTGGTCTCATTCTTTTTTAATGGCTGTGGAACATTCCTTCCTGTGGAAGAACCATAATTCCTTTCACCAACTCCCCATCATGTACACTTAAGTTGTTTATGGCTTTCAGTTTTGCAAATAATGTCATAGTAAACATTTATGTACAAGCAGGCTATCCAACAGGTGAGACTACATCATAGTAGAAATTTCCAGCCACTGAAATGGAGACTTTTCCAGCCTCCATGCCCCGTCCTGCCCATTTGCTCCTGGTCCTCCCGGGATGTCCGAAGGTCAGCAGGTGGAGAGCGGACAGGCTTGCTTCCTGGAAACCTGGGTTCGAGCCTCAGCTCTGTCACTTCCTAGCTGTGAGAGTGTGGGTGAGTTTCTCACCTTCCCTGAGCCTCTGTCTCCACACTTATAAAAAGAGTGTGAAGGGAGTGTGCTGGAACCTACCCTTGCATGGTTGTCATTAGAACAAGTAGAGGATCAAATTCGGGTTGGGAGCTGGAGCAGTGCCCGGTGTGAGGGCCAGTGCTAAGTGTGTGTTCGCTGTTATTTTCATGGTACTATTATCCCCTTTTTGCAAATGAGGAAACTGGCTCCCAGAAATGGCTTGCCCAAGTCACACAGTTTGGAAGTAGCTGATCATGGGACTAAAAACCATGTTTTCAGGCTAAAAGTAGGTCTATTTATAAAATACCCACGGACTGACCACGGGGCAAAGGACTGTTGACCCCATGACCCAGGTCACTAGGATGGGACCAGAGGAACAGAGTCGAGGCCCGCACTGGGCTGAGTCCTCAGCCCTGCCTGCACCACAGAAACACGGACATTCATAGAACCTGCAGGAGCCTGCACCCTGCCTGGCCTCGAATGAGACTGTCTCAGGGTGAACACGGACCATTTCACAAGCTCCCCGAAGGGTTCTAACAAGGGACACCGCTGAAAACAACTAAACGACAGGGCCTTCGAGGCAAGGGACAAACGGGGTGCCAGAGAAGGGCCCAGAAAGAGCCACAGGATGCCTGGACTGGAGGGAACCAGGCGGGGGCGGGAGGGTGTCAACGAGACTCATCTTACACAGGGGAAGCGGAGGCCTGAGAGGGGACGGGGCAGGTTCAAGGTCCCACCGAGTGAGAGCGGTGGAGCTGGCCTTCTCCCCCGGCGCTGCAGGCGGCCCCTCCCTGTGTCTGGGCTAGGTGCGGAAGGAGCCCCAGCCTGGGCTGCGTGATTTCTGGCAGGCCGAGTGTGAGTTTTTTAAATGACTTTGACTTTGAGTCCATTAGTGATTAATTCAGAGCTCCACTTAGAGCCAACTGATCCATATTGGGAGGAGGAGACCATTCTGTGGCGGCTGAGACGCAGCTGCGATTCATGTGCGGGTAGCCTCCCCACCCGGGGGCAGGCATGAAGTCCGGGCAGGGCCCCCCCCAGCACCCCCTCCCCAGGAGGCTTTCCCAGGGGGAGGGGCGACGAGTCTGTCACCTGGGTGGGGATGAACACTCAGCCCGAAGAACCTGCTTTAGGGTTCAGACCCCACTCCATCTCCGGCAAGCTGTTTGACCTTGGGCGCACCCCTTACTCTCCCCTTGGTTTACCCACCTGTAGAAGGGATCACCCCTGTGTCTCTCCCAGGGCTTGTTGGGTAGATTCAATGAGACAACGCGCTTCAGTGACCCCAGCACATGGCCCCTGGTAAATGAGAAGAGGGTTTCAGGGGCAGGAGAGGCCATGCTGTGTCCCTTGGCCATGCTGACGCCTCCTTTTTGCGGGCTTCTGGGGAGGAGCTGGGGTGTCTGCAGCTCTGGCTCGCGCTCTCTCCCCACTCTCTCTTCCTCCCTCTCCCTCTCTCACCGCTGTGTGACTCAGGCAAGTTATTTTACCTCCTTGAGCCTCGGTTTCTTCCTCTGTAAACTAGAGATAAGGGTCCTGTCCTTGCAAGACTGTCATGCAGGTTCCCTGAAAAATGTCCCTGAGAGTTGGCAGCATGTGGCGGGGACTCCCAGTGGGAGGCGGGGACAGCAGGAGCAGCCTGCCTTGGGCACCGGCCAAATGGGTCCATGGCCTCAGAGAATTCTTAAAACAGAATAGAATTTACTGAAAGTTGGTTTGCTTTGTATTGTCCCCCTTCCACTTGCAATTCTAACAATAAAGGTGATAAAATGCTCCTCTGGGCTAGGACCGACGAGGCATGCCCCGTCCCCTGCAGGATGGCTTTGCCTCTGGCCCTTGCTGCCCTTTAGGCTCCCCCCAGGACTTTGCTGGAGGGTGTTTCCCCCCAACCCGTCCCATGCCCCACTTTCCGGCTCCCTCCCAAACTTGTCAGAGTCAAGTCTCTGGTGACCTTTCCATGACTGACGCGGACGGTTCTCCCTGAACAGGGGTGCGGGGCTGGAGGATATGGATGCATCCTCTCTCAGCCTGGGACAGAGCTCCCGGCCGCCCTCTCTTCTCAGCAGCCACCCAGTGTTTTACCCCCTGCCTGTAGCTCATAAGCAGAATCCCCTGGACCGGGAGGCGGGGGGCGGGAGGGGCCTCCAGAGACCCTGATGACAGGATCGGCTAGGACGACTTCTCAGTGGCCCAGTCTGTGGACCCAGCCGGCTGGGCCTGGGGCAGCCTGTAGCTTGTTGACTGTCGGCCGCTGGGTCCTCATCCTGACGTGGCCACACCCGCAGAAGGGCTCTTTTCTCTGGGCTGAGGGTGGGCCTGGCTTCCCCAAGCAAGACCCCACTGGTTTCACTGTCTGTAAAGGAGGGGCTGGACTCAGTGACGGCAGGAGTCCCTTCCTGCTCTGACTTCCTATGACTGATGCTTGTAGCGTGTGTTCCAGGCTATAAGCACGTTTGCTCACTTTCCCTCACGCCTGGCTACTCTCTGCATCCCCCATGGTGTGCTAGGCACACTGGAGCCCCAAGGATGTTTCTGGAAGGGTGGAAGCATTTATAATTGCCTTTTCTGTGTCATTCAACCAAGTCCCTTTCCTCCGAAGACAGCATGGCGGCGGGGGGCGGGGCGCGCTTTCTTGGTTTCTGCTCCCCAGCCATCATGTGTCTCTCCTCAGCATTCACGACACCTTCCTGAAGCTCTGCCCCCCTGGGAAGTACTACAAGGAGGTGACCCTGACCGTGGACCAGGTCAGCTCCCTGCCGGCGCTGAGGGTGAGTCTGGGATGATGGGTGCGTGGGGGTGGCGTCATGGGGACCTGTGAAAGTGCTGGTCTCAGTTGTGTCATGTGTGAAGGGGGTGGAGGGTGTGTGTGGCTGGAGTGTCATGAGGTCCCACAGGCTGTGCTTGCCTGAGCCACCAGCTCCGCTTCCCCTAATCTTTTAGGGACCATCGTTGAGCCTTTGTCCCTGTTGTGAAAAGGCCTTGTTCCTCTCCACCCAGGGCACCTGGAAGAGCCCAGAGGTGCATAATAAAAGGGCTCTCTAGTCACTCCTGAGATTTTAATTAAAATTTGTTCAATGCATAGAGAGGCAATGTCAGGTTAACAAATCACGGCAGTGTCAGGCTTCCTGATTTTTCATTCGGATCTGAGCAGAAAAATGCTTTGAATTTGTCACTGTGCAGTAGAACTCGTCTTCATTTCTGTCTGGAACAAGATGCACACTGAGAGCTGTGGCTGCTCTTGGAAGAGGGCCAGGGGCCTGGAGGGGAAGGTGCTCCCAGGGAGACACCACGTGGGTGGAGGGGCACATAGTCAACAAGGGCTACGAAGCGACAGGTCTTGGTCTTAGTCAGAGACAGAGAAAGAACACAGAGCTGGGGGTTGACAGGGAGGGAGAGGAAGAGAGAAGACAAAGGAGTGAGAAGGGGCGCAGAGGGTGGAGGGATGGGAGGGGTTTCGGGGAGGAAAGGAACAGAGTCCTCAACAAGTGAAATAATTGGATAATGTGCCTGTGCCAGGTACAAAACAGGGACCCTGTCCCTCTGGTACCGCCTTCTCGCATACATGTCCCTCCACACCCCCACGTCCCCACACGCGCACGCATGCACACACATGCGTGCCCTCAAACACACATGCACGAGGTGGCTGGGATTTCTCTCAGGTCTAGACTCTCCACTCAGGGACCCAAGTGGCAGCCCAGCGAGGCAAGGGCACATGGGTGGGGGATGATGTTACTGCTCAGTCCCAGAACATCTGAATGTTAAGCCTGGAAAAGAACTTAGAGGCCACCCAGCCTGATCCCTGTCAAAGGCTCTCCACCCTGGGCTCACCCACTGAATCGCTGAGGCCCGGAGAGGGACCTGACTTGCCAGGGCCACCTGATGGCAGAGCTTGGCCCAGCAGTCAGCGCCGACCCCCGCGCTGGGCTCTCCATTCCTAATTGGGCAGGTGGGCAGGAGCGCACTGGCGGTGGCCCCGGGCGGTTTAGGTTCTGCTTGGCTGTGGACTCACCGTTTGGCAGCCAGGCTGGGGGATGATGCAGGATGTCAGGCTGCTGTGAAGCCCACGCCCACAGGGCGGGGCTGGGAACACCAGACCACCCCCCCAGAACTTACTGGTTGGAAAGTGGCTAGAAACTGAGATGGGGATCTTCGGATAGGATTACCTATTTCATCTTTCTAAACGGTCATTATTTTATTTTATCACACAAATAAAAACCAGGTCATTGTAAAACAAAATGAAACAAAACAAACAAGCAAAAAAAAAAAAACCCAACAACAAACCAAACGCCTAGAAAACAGAGACAAGCCAAGATACAATAAAAATCATCAGGTAGCCCAGCTCAAATGATGGCCGTCATGACCATGTTGCCTTATTTCCTTCCATACTTTTTTCTATGCAGATGTATTTATTGGGATCACTTTGACTGTTTTTTGTATTTTTAAAATATTTTTGGTTTCTTTGTTGCTTTTCCTATTGGTTCTTAACAATCAGAGCCATCTCATGAATTGAGGACACTGAGCCATTGCCACATCTACAGAACTAGGGGACAGGGCACTGGGTCAGGAGCGGAAGAGCAGGGTTTGAACCCACTTGCTAGCCATGTGATCTTAGGAAAGTCACTTCACAAGAAGAATGATTGGGGGTTGAGGGAAGACATAGACCCCGACCAAAGAAAACTGGGTTGGGTGGGGGGGGGGGGACACGGAGCTCATTCTTCTGCGGGTGAAAGGCTGTCCTTGAAAGAGGCAGGCCTGGTTCCAGGTCCTCCCAGGCATACATGCAGCTGGGTGCAGGGACCCAGTTTCTTGACAACACAGAGAAACACTTTCTACTCATCCAAACTGTGCGCTGGAGGAATGAGCTCCCTGTCACTGAAGGGCACCAAGTGGGGCCAGCCAAGCAGCTACCTGGAATGTTCTAGCACACACTTAGGTATCAAAGGAGAATGAACCACATGGGACGGTGCCCTCCTTACCCTCCTAGTCTGTGGTTCCAGACCTGGGGCTTGGTCCTACTTTCCTCTGTGTCGCCTACCACACTATGTCCCAGACTTTGGACTTTCATAGTCAATGAAATTCACACCCCTCCATCCCCCACCATCAGTTCCTTTTTTTAGGAAGAACTAGCTAGAGATGTCAACTGTCCAATTTTGCCAAGTAAGGACATTAACAAATACGTCAACCATGATCACCATCATTTTATTTTTAAAAAATGTTCATTTTAGAGCAAAAAATGTAAGAGAGATCTAATCCCAGAAGCAAGAACAGTTCTTTCCATACGCCTCCTTTCTTGTTCTTATTTTTCTCCCTTTGTTTCTGGTTGTCAAGAATTTTTTCACTGACCATCACTGGTCCTCAGCTTAACTGTTGTGGGTTTCGATCTAGGACTAAAATTTCTGTGTCTTTCCAATCCTGGAGGAAGCAGAAAACTTGCTTCCCAAAATGAGCAAGGAGAGGCTTGCTGGGAGGTGGGGGTTTGAGTGTCCCTGTGTCCCCAGAGGCCCCAGAGACGGGAGCTGTGTGACTCACGCTGCCCAGAACACACCTCTGGAAAAGGCTTTGGAGAATGGGCCCCACGGAACCCCAGGCTGTAACTTGGCTCAGGGTCTTGAGTGGTCTGGGAAGAAAGCTCTGTTTTCTTAACTTGGTTCCACTCGTGGAAAAAGTGGGTCGGTTAATATTGGGAAGGGTCTGCCCGTCGGTGGGGAGCAGGGGAGACAGCGGCCTGGGCTGCAGAGGGTGGTGGGAAGAGCCCGCTGACAATGCCCTGACTTTCCTACTCAGAAGGCTTCTGTTTTCTTTTTGTCTGCTGCTCTATTTGGTATATTTGAAAGTGAATTAGCCCAGTGTTTCTGTTCTTGTAAATAACGGTCTTGCTTTCTGTAAACACGGGTGAGGAGTGGCAGTGGGGTGACCTGGGTCTCTAATTTCCAGGCTCAGGACTGTGCGCGGCAGGACCTGTGGGAAGATTTCAGGGTCTCAGATCAGGTCTGCTGAAAGCTTGCATCGTGAATGCGTCCCGTCCACTCCCCTGGCCCCTTCTTACCTTCCCCAGCAGGGCTCCTGCAGGTGGGTGGTCTGTGCCCAGTTACTCCCCTCCCCCCACCCCCACTCCCCACCTACTGCATTCTATCTGGGCATCAACTCTAAAAACACGGAGTAGTCTGGAAACCTGCCTGAGGTGTCAGGGGGCATTCCAGGGTGGCTCCTGAGGTTTCAGCTCCATCTTGGTTTCTGCGTAGCCCCAGTTTTCTGAGCCTTTCGGAAGGCTGCCTAAAGGCCGGGCCTATCTGCTTAGAAGTGCTTGCAAAGAACTCACTCCCGAGGCTTTCAGCAGTGAGGAGTCCTTGTATCTATTTAGTCTGTTGGGAAATCACCAAAGTAGAAGGGGCAGGGATGGGAGTACATTTTTAAATTATTATGATTTTAGTTTTTAAATCAAAATTATTTATGCATGCCAAGAGTCAAGTTGCCATGTGTAGGTTGGCCTTGCCGTCCTTCTCTGCAGGCGGCCATTGCCAGCTCTCGGCTGATTCATGTTATTTGCACTATGTCGCTGAAGAGCACACTTGCGTTGTCCCTTCTCGATGCCTCAGCCTTGGACTTCCCCTTGGAGAAGGAGTCTAGCTCACCCCCCACCCCACGCTTATCCTACACACCGTTCTCTCCCCTCTTCCCTCCCAATATAGCTATATACTAATTTGGGTTAGGTTAATATTCATTGTTACATTATTGTGATTGTATACACTGTTCAGAGCTGAGCCATGAAATAGACTATGGTTCGTTTTCCTCCTGCACATCTTTAGTTGCTGTTACCTTGCCTGGTGTAACCATCGTTTTTGCTTAGTTTTCTACGTTATTGTTATGTCCGACACCAAACCTCTGCCTATTAACTGAATCTCCTCTAAAGGCATTCGGGAGAGAGGCATTTTTTATATATTCCATTTTCTTGGCAAGCTTTCTCTTGGAGCCTCCAGGCCCGCTTGAATCGGGGCTGGGCTGTCCACTGAGCCTGGTACATGTTGTCATTCTAGGATCTCCTTCCACAATCATCCGGATTCTTTTCACCGCTGCTTTGATCTGCCTTTTCTCATCTTCCCCTCTCTCTGTTTCCTCCCTTGTTTTGGTGGAGCACATCCTCTAGTAGCTTCGTGATGAAGGGTGCATGGAGGTAAATGCTTTGACACCTTACATATCTGAAAATGTCTTATTCTCCCCTCGCTCTTCATGGGGAGTTTAGAGGGAATTGAACTATAAGTTGTATATCAATTTTCTTCAGAATTTGGAAAGCATCCCTCTATTGCATGTTAGCTTTCACTGTTGTTATTCAGAAGTTTCCTGATCTTTTTTGTGACCTGCCCTTTTTTTTTGCCCTGGAAACTTGTAGTGCCTTTGCTTTGATTCCTACTATTCTGAATTTACCAACAACCTGGGCTAGTGTGGGTCCTGTTCTCCATGCACTAGGCACACAGAGGGCCCATTTGGTGGAAGCTGTCCCTCAGTTCAAGGACATTTCTATGAATGCTTCCTTTGACAATTTTCCCCCTCTGTTTTCTCTGTTCTCCCTCTCCAGAACTCTGATATCGCGGGGTTGTACATCGTGGGTTGGTCGTCCACTGTGCATCTCTTCTCTACTAATTTTCCTCTTCATCTCTTGGCTCTTCTTCCTGAGAACTTTCCTCATCTTCACCTCTAAGTCTGATTTAGTTTGTAGCTTCTGCCATCATGCTTTTGATTTCTAAGAGCTTGATTTTGTTTTCTGTTGATT